AAAAAAAAAAAAAAAAAAAGACTGGATGTTGTCACCGCTGCCTAGAGAGAGACCTGCTGATTAGAACAAACCTGAAAGGCGTGATGTAGGCACGATTGGCAAGTTTTGAAAGTTAGGTTGGGCTCTGTCTGACACAGTTAGTGTCATAGCTTCATGTAGAGTTCCAGGGGTTGTAACCCAGTTAATATTCTTTAAGGTATAACTAACCATGTGATAAGCTTAGAAGCATTTTTGATATTTTTCATGCTTGTGTCTAGTGAAAAGTAGAGATAATAAAGGCAAGATAAACATGTTAAGAAAAAGATTCTAGTATCAGAAGTAAAACATTCAAATATTATGCTTTCATTTTTCTTCCAGATGTTCTCCAAAAAGTAAGAAATTCATTGCAAACTTTCTGTAAAATACATCCCCGAGTTAATAGCATGGAGGCATTTTTCATTATGTCACATATTTCTGGAATCTTCTAGAATCGTGGATCTATAAATCTTGCCTTCAAATCTTTCTAAACTTTCCAAGCTGCAGTGTCAAAAATCCTAAAAAGTTATTCCTCCCGATTCTGTAACAGCAAAAAGCTCGAAATGTTTAAAAAAAAAAGTGTAAAATTAATTTTATAGAGAAAACTGATGCATATTCTGAGAATTTTAAATACTTCGAGGCAATTACATGAGAAAAACGTTTACTATGAAAAAATTAAAAAGACATTTTTAATTAATTACATAGCTAATTTTGCTTTTTCTAAGAATTGTTTCATAAATCGTGCTTTATGGATTGCTTATTTTTCAGATTCAAAATATGGTATATTAAGTTGCTAAAATGGAACTTTATAATATGACAGCAAAAAATAAAAATGTTTTATTTTAATGTTATTTTTTAATATAATTTCAGTCAGTCAAATGCCTGGAGACTTTTCATAGATGAAGGGATATTGAAGCATATAAAGAAATAAACTGAAGATGAAGCTCATTGACAGATTCATGAAAATGAATGTAACAGTAGAAGAAGTGGATGCTTTTATAGCAATTTTATACTGCGCAAAAGGACTTGAACTGGAATTTGAATAAATTTGGAATCAAGTTCTGGTTAGCTGCAGATATTGACTCAAATATCTAATACGGTCAAAAGTCTTTAATCCGGACTCGTCAGAACTTCGGCGATTCCGGATTATAGATCATCAATTTAAATCTGGTAAGATGGCATGCAGAAATTATAAAATTAAAAATATGAAACTTTTTTATGAAATAAAGAGCAATTATGATCTAAAGGGTATCAAAATTTACAAAAAAGCTTAATATTTATTTGTTTAATTTATTAAACATTTCTTTCAATGTGCGCATATGTAAAATTGCAACCAGAAAACTATTTGATGTGTATTCGTGATATTTATAATGAGGAGGAATTTGATTTAAATCATATCAAAGACGGAGTACATAGAGATGAAATACTACATTTAGTAAGGAATTATAAGCTGAATAAAATAAAAACATCTGCCCTGGAAATAAGGATAGTGCTGACAGATCAACTTCCAGTTCATTGCTCTATCCATAAAAGATAGAGACTTTGAATATTCCAGTTACGAATCTCCCTGTAACCCATACAGAAGGCACCCAGTAGTAAATCCAAAAATCAACTGTATTGCAAAAGATACACAAACTAGAGACTACTACCGATGCGCATACACAGACGGCTAAAAAATGGAAGAAGGAGTCGGATGTGCATGTATTATTTATGTAAATTCTCAAGTTAAAATAATACGAAAAGCTAAACTTCAAAAGGAAAACAGTATTTTCCAAGCTGAGTTATCAGCAATAAAAATGGTCCTAGAATATTGTACCGAAAACAAAATTTAAAAAATATTAAAATATACACAGTCTATCCACGATTCTAGTATGAAAAATACTAAACATAATTCTCCGATCATTCAAGATATCTATGATATCTCCATCTCGAATCCCGATATACATCCTACTATTTCATGGGTTAAATCCCATGTAGGGATTTCTGGAAATGAAGAAGCAGATGAAGCGGCAAAATCTGCTATTACTACACTGACGCAGAATTAAAAAATCCCTCTTGGCCCAAATCTCAGCTAAAACACCAACTTAAATGCTTACGGGAACATGTATGGGAAGAAGAATGGAAAAATAGTGATAAGGGAAGAAGACTCTTCCAACTCAAACCTCATATCAATACGGACAGACTCAGTATGAATCATCTAATTAATTGGTTTATGACAGTACATGGCCCCTTCCCCAAGTATTTTTACGAACGAAACATAGCTCCTTCTGAGCAATGGATATGTGGGGAAAGAGGCGACCCCAACCATTACATCTTCAAATGTCCATTAACAAAAAATTATCACTTCATACTTCCTGAGACTAACATATATCAGTGCTTGCAAATAGCTTTAAAAATAAAACAATTAAGAAGAAAAATAGAACTCTCAGTTATATTCCTCACTAGTAGAGGAGAAGAATTGTGCAATACAAGATAAGCAAAAAATAACACTGGAACTTTCAAAAAAATTAAATTAGAGTTGACAAAACTACCTACTTGACAAAATATTGAAGGACAATATTGACAAAAGTACAGACTAGAATTAACAAAAAAACTAGAGGACATACAAACACCTCTATGCATCAAATAATATTTAAAAAAGTAAAAAAATATTTTAAAAAAATTCATATACAAAATAATTTTTGCCTGACTCAGTATATACTCTCTTAGATATACAGGCAAAAAAAGTGCTCATTGCATTTATGTATATAATAATGCTATATATATATGTTTCTAAATGTGTTATATGTAGGTCATTATGTCCCAATATGTTATATATTTACCTTTATGTTGTAAATTTGCCTTTGTGTTCTGTACTTATCATTATGTTCTATATTTGCCGTTATGTATTCGTGTATGAAAGGCACCATATGTCACAATTATATTGTAATCATATGAAAAAAATGTAAATATGTCAAAATTCTTTCAAAAAAATTATAATATTCAAATAAAAAGATAGTGCAGTTGGACAATACCCTTATTACCAATGGTTAAACATTGGGTGTCCGCTGCACTACAACCTGAACCTGATCATTCCGGATTAAAGACTTTTGACTGTAAATGGATTCCTGTATCTTGAAAAAGATAATCAAAGTCCATCCACTCTTTCTAAACATGTAATATTGCGACTATTAAGTCCATATGAAAATAAAGGTAGAAATGTCACTGCAGATAACTTTTCCACAACACTGAAGCTTGCAAAGGCATTGCAATCCAAAAACACCAGCCTTATAGGAACTGTAAAATCCTGAAGAAGGGAAATACCAGTCTCTGTAAAAATGTCAAAATACGTGTTGCATGCGACTATGGTACTAACACACAAAGACATCAGTCTAGCTGTTTATCAAGGGAAAAATGATAAAAAATTACTAAGTTGTCTTCATCCAACTGTATAAACCATAGATAGTTCCAAAAATTACCTGATACAATTGCTTATTACAACACAACTAAATTTGGCGTGGACGAGATTGACCAAATGGCAATGAAGTATACTCTCAAGTCTGCTTCGCGTAGGCAGCTGGTGCAGGTTTTTTATAATGTTTTGGACATTGTTGATATTAACACCTGGGTTTTATACAAAGCTGTAGCTGGAAAATCTATTAGTAGGCGGCAATTCATTCAAAACTTAGTTGAAGAACTGAGAGAAACATTTGTTCTCTGCTGACAAAAAAGGTGACATATGAGTTATGCAACCACTAAAATCGGCAGAAAACCACAAGTTAGGCATAAATCAGTCCGATGCCACAGTTCAAAATGTGAAAACAAAACCCAAGATATTTGTTCAAAATGAAAAGCACACATTTATGATAAATATACAAAACTTATTTACTAAATTTTGTGCATAATGCATACAATAAATTGGAGTTTTAAAAATCTGTAAAACTAATAAAGTAACTGGTAAAATTTTTATTTTTTCCCTAAAATTATTAAAAGGATATATTCTGTTTTTTGATCAAAATTTGAAAAATTATGTTTTATTTTGTTTAAAAGACATGTTACTAATTAAAATTGTAACTAATATGATTTTCTAAAGATTTATGTAATTTCCATTGATTTATATAAAATATGTAACATAAATTCTAAAAAATAGTGATTGTTACATAAAAATAAAATGTACATATTTTAAGGTGTTTTCCGTCTAGGGTCAAATTGACCCGCATCACAGTTCTAGTGTTAAGAGCTCTTCATTAGAAAAAATTAAGTTCAAAATGCTTATATTTCACTTCTTGCTCAGAAACTCGAGTATCCCATCATTTATATTAGAAATAGGAACAAATTATAACCCATTCAAAAGATAACCATAAATGTCAGTGAATCGCCAAAAATATTCCTCCAAAATGCTAATTTACACTCAAAATGGCAGTTATAAAAACAGACAGAAATTTTAGATGATTAAAATTAAGGACCTGCTGCTGATTTTGGCCAAAATTAAGGAATTTTAAGGACCAAAAAGCCTAAGGACTTTTAAAGACTCTTAAAGACCCTACCAACCTTGTTTATGGAGTTATTAAGGCATTACTATTTTCAGAATGGCTGTTGTCAAACCTTTCACAGTAATGTTTAGCTTTTTTTAAATAATTTAAAAACAATTATCTAACTAATGTGGATAAAAATTATTTTAATTAATTTATTAATTGTTTTGATTTTTTTGGGAGAGGAGGTTAAGATAAGTAACAAAAGAAAGTTTTTCATTAAGACACTTCAGACAAATTTTATCAATATTATAACATCAGATGTGACTATAATCAATCATAACAAAAGGGTAAAAATATTCTACAGACAACTATTTTTCAAAGTTGAATGTTTTAATCAAAAAAAAAAAATCTATAAATACAAATTTACTGACACATAATTATATGTTTTTCATGAATACAACTAAGGAGAACAAATAATGCTAAAATCTGATTATATTTATAGATCAGAGGTATATTAAAAATGAAGGATACACTGCCATCAGAAATTTTTACATCTCGATATGTATCAAAATATTTATCCCATGACACTGGAGTATAATCTCGCAGTCTGTTGATTTTTCTTCCTGCTAGCCTAAATAAATAAAAAAAATAATAATTCAGTAACTCTAATCATAATCTATTGTAATTAGCTATATTAAACTTTACTCAAGAGATTAAAAACAAAACAAAAGTGACAGAGAAACTTGGGAAAGAAAAATTCGTCATGTACTGAACATATAAAAATATGCAGTACAGAAAATAAATTCTGTAAATATAAAACTCAGTTGCTGCTTAGTAAATGCAAGATATCTGTCAGCTTAAGTCTTCAGTGATGATCTATGGTACCAATTAACTTAAACAGTAGAATAATTCATTACAATAAATCAAGTGAGAACTAAATAATAAAAAATAGATTATCTTTATGAAGGATTTTTGAAGAAAAACTGGCTTATATTTATGATAGATTAGAGGAAAGCTACCAAATTCCATGTAGTTAACAAAGTCAATCTCAAGAAATAAAAAAGGCTCTCTTCTGTCATCAGGGCCAGATTAAGAAATATATGTATATACACACATGTGTTGTACGTCCACATATGTGCATGTGCATACTTTAATATACATATTGTTGCATTTTGTACGAGTTCATGGATTTGGAGTGATTAACAACGGCACTTGATGAAGTATCAAAACACAATTTATTAGTCAGTATTATTCAGGACAACCCCAAAAACATGGTTACATAAATTCCCATGACCTCTTTATGCGATTACCAAGTTTGATAACATTTAGTCCAGTAGTTTTTTTTTTTTTTTTTTTTTATACCTTTTTTAACCTTAACTTTAATTATAACCACCTTGCATATTAGATTTATATATAGCATTGTTCTAACTTATGTATTTTGACACAAAATAGAACTTTTTCTGAAATAACATAGCATTCCCCCCCCCCCGATTTTATGACTCAAATTATGTATAGATATTAAATTTTGTAGTTTTTGGTGAGAAATTTTAAATTTTATCAGGAACAACTTTTTGCAGTTTGCACCAAGGATAATTCACTTGACATACTTCTTAATTTATGGCAACCCATTTTCATTTCCTTTTTTTCATTGTACAGGAAGGGAAAAAAGGTCATCACTCATACTTTTAACAAAGTGTGTAAACTAAAGTGACCACACGTCCTGATTTCGGCGGGACAGTCCTGCTGATTTTTTTAAATGTTACGCTTTTTAGAAAACATCTGCATTTCTTATTTTAAATGTACTGTAAAAATATATTACCTATTATTTATTAATTATTATAGTAAATATAAAGAAAACACATAAAATGCATGCAGAGTAAACTAAATTAGGCGATGTAACAAGTTCGATTTACACTGTGGTGTTCGATCACTGTCGTTACGTCTCGTCAAGGAATATGCATTGTTAATGGAGGAACAGCTAGCATTAGCTGAAGAGCTATTTGCTTTCCACAGCATAAACCACAATCAAAGTTTCAGATCAATTTATTGCACGTCGCAAATGATCAAAACTTTGTACAACAAAAAATTTGCATGTGCAAGGACAAAAATCCAATGAATTATTTGTACTGTTTTTTCACTATATTCGCTTTCACAATTGCAGGAAGAACTAAATAAATGCACATTTATATCCATATATCATGATGCTTCCAACCAACCACAAAGATTTAAAATTATTTCCCACAATTGTTAGACTTTTTGATCCAGAAACAGGAATTAAAATTAGAATATTAGATTTTATTTTATTGCCGGGTGAAACTTCATAAATAATTTTTGATTCAATAAGTACTATTTTGAAAAATAATAATTGGAACAATAAAATCATTGCCTATTGTGAGGATAATACTAACGCAAATTTTGGTGGAAAATTAACATTTTTACAAAACTTAGCGAACATTTGAACCAAAAAAATTATTGGGGTAGGTTGTGCAGTGCACACTCTACACAGTACTATTCAAACAGCATCTGACTTACTTCCAGTGGATCTGGAAAATATTATTGCAAAAACTTATTCGTATTTTTATACATAAACTGTGCATGTTGAAAGTTTGAAGGGTTTTTGTGAAAGCGCACAAATCGAATATAAAAGAATTATTGGTTACAGCAAAACACGATGGCTAGCTCTTTTACCAGCTGTAGAAAAATGTTTTAAAAATATACGAACCATTAAAATCATACTTTTTATCACAAGATAAATGTCCAAGAATACTGCACCTCTTTTTTAAAAATGATGCATCACAAATTTGGCTTCAGTTCATCCACAACCAAGCTACATTATTTCACAGCTCTGTGAAAATTATTGAAGGGGACAAAATTTCAATTTTGGAAATGTCAAATGAAATCAATAATTTAAAAACAAAATTGCAAGAAGAATTTATGATTATTACATTCCCTTAGTTATTTGAAAGGACATCACCAGTTTGGAAGAACAAGGCCATTAAACAACCTGATTTTTTGAAAAAAGTCAGAAATTTTTATAATAACTGCTTGGGATATCTTGAAGAATGAACAGTTCAATTCGAGGATATTAAAAAATTTCATTGGCTGACATTAAAAAAGGAGATTTTATAGGAATATGTGGAAAAATCTTTTTAATATATTAGTAACCATATTCTGAAAAATAATATTTGTGAAAATGATCTTTTTGATGAGTTGTCATTGTAAAAAGATACGTTACTGAAGAAAAAATTAAATGTTGGTTGTCTGCAAAGTGGAAACAGACAAAAAAGGACGAGTTATCCTCATTTTAAACAGAATAATATCCTTATGAAAATTTTTGAAAATTGTAGAACACGTGCTCTCCCTTCCAGTAATAAATGCAGCAACAGAACGTGTTTTTTCTAGTATCGATAAAATATGGACAATTAAAAAAATGCAGTTGAACATTAAAACTTTAAAATCTGTATTAAGCATAAAATATAATTTGACCAATTCATGTGAGAAATTTCATGACATTTTAATAAATGATCCGAATCTATTGTAAAGTATTCACTCGGATAAAAAATATGACCGTGAAAGAAAATCATATTTTTTTAATAAAAAATTTTAAATTAATTAATTAAAAACAGGATATTCAAATTATAGTTTTTTTACAAATATTTTAAGTACCAATAGTTAAAAATAAATATATTTTTGTATATTTATAGACAAGTATAGAATGTATACAATAAAATTTTTTTTTGAATTATTGAGTCTGCTTTCATAACTAAATTACAATTCTCATTTCATTTCATTTGTCCCACTTTGTCTCAATGAAAATGTGGTCACTTTAGTGTAAACCACATTTGGCATTATTATCACTAATAACAAATATTCCATACGAAAGTTTGGAATAAAAAATAATTTTTGCGGCATGCTTAGAATATTATTGAGATGATGGTAAAAATATTATAATTCAAAATTTTTTTTGCAAAAATTTATAAAAATATTTAAATAAGTCATAAAAAATGAGTGAATTTTATTTGGAATGAAACCAAATTTTGAAATGTGAAAGAAAGAATGAAATAAGTTTAATAACAAAAGAGATATTGATAAATATATACCAAATTCAATCAACATGGAGGAGCTAAAATTTTGAGAGCTAATTTTTTAAAAACTACTCGTGCGATTTTTATAAAACTTGGCACTTTGGCATAATTTGAGATGTAGAACTGAAATATGGAAAAAAATTGCTATGTTATTTCATCTATAAATCTATATATATCCTAAGTCGCAGTTTCGAGACATGGGAAACACAAATTTCTACAATTGGTCTAGTAGAATGGGAGATACAGAACAGTTCCCCCCTTTTTTAGTGCAAGGTTTACATCTAGGCATGCATACATGAATGATACATCCATCTACACATACATTTTGAATCTGGTCCCGCTAACAAAAGAGTACCATTCTGAATTAAATGACGATCTCATCTTTATCTGCCTGGCCATTGCAGTACTTGAGTGATAAGGATTACAGTTTTAGTATCTTATGTATTTAATAATGTGTGATCTTGTAAATACACAGTGCCTTCTGTTTTGATCATCTTTGAAAAGATCAGTATTTTTACAAAGATTTATAAATACTGATACTGATAATTATAATATTTTCTAAGATGCCAACTTCTAAACTGAGTGAAACAATCAAATGTCTGATTAAGGCAAACACAAAAATGTATAAGTTAGCTAAAAAACTAAAATATAAGCACATCAAGGAGCTGACTCCAATTACGGAAAATAACACCTGATTATTTCTAAATTGTTTAATTTTACCTTTAAAAAAAATAAATTAAAAAAATGTAATATATCATACAAGCTTGATTTGATAGGTATGACACAATTTTTTTAAACTATTCATAACATTCCCATCTAGCTTTTTCATTCATAATCTGATTAATTTTTAAACTAATTTTGTTATTTCCTATGATGATTAATTTGATCTTTAAGTATGGATATGAGTAAAAAATCCATAAAAAATACCTGCAGTATTTAATTTAAAATAAATACAGAAACAATATAAACTACACCGAGTTTCCAAAGATAAAACATTATAAAATCAGCACTGGGATTGTAAAAATGTACGTATGAAAAAAATTTAGAGAAAATGAGGGTTCATTCTTTTCAATTTATTTTTCCACCTTAAAAGTAGTAAAACTGCTATATTATCGTAATCAGTTTTACTACTTATATACACTATTTTAGAATGAATACCATAAGAGCACATAAAAAATTACTTTTATTCAGGTTTTAGAATTTATAATTATTTTCTTGCTTAATTTATAGCACACATTAAAAAAGAATCTAAATTTAAATAAATGCATATGTACTTCTTTTAGTTTTGGAAAAAGGGGGGATAATAATCTAGCAATGGTGGAAAGAGTGTAAGAATGTTTGAGACCCACTGTGCTGGATAGTTGATCTATTACCTACAACCAATCAATTATCTGCAAATGTATTTGTACAATAGATGGGAAAATACATTTAGGAGAAATTATTAATACGCCATTATCAACACAAAGAAATGAAAATTTATTTATCTTTGTCACTACTCCCCCAACCCCAAGGTCATATAATGGTTTAGTATTATACAGGGTGGTCC